GGCAGCTGAGCGCGGCCAACGAGCAGGATCTCGCATCGATCCTCGCGTCTGGGAGGTAGGCGGTGGGGGAGGTGTTAGCCGTTTCCCCGCCATGTGGCTCCGTCGCGCGCGGCACGCAGTGTGTGTATATGCGTCGGGCGTTGCAGGACGCCGCGGCGCCCATGCGCCAGGACCGCGCCGGGCTGGGCGGCCATTGCGCGCTTGGGGGACGTGTCCGGTCGTCTCTGCCGCGGTCCGTGGTCCGTGATGGTCGGCGGGTGCGTGCGTGCGTGCGGTGCGGCTGGGGACAGGGACATTTCGACTCTATGGACACGTCCGGCTCGGAGGCTGTCTGTCTGTCTGCATGCATTGTCGATTCGCAGTATTTATTCATTCTGGGCGCATGATATCTCTGTCGTACTGTACGCATACCCTTGCATTCGTTAGTGTCTTCCACGAACTGTCCGAACCACACATCGCTGTAGTAGTCCTGTATCGCCAATGTCATGTCTGGTGTCCTGCAACTGAATATTGTGGGTGTGTATTGTGGGTGTGTGGTGTTTGGCTATCAGATGGGCAATGCCCAGGGCGAACAGTGGTCGTCGACGGATGACGGTGGTGAGCGTTGTTGGCTGATCCGGGACAAGCTGTGTGCATTCCGGAATGGAAATGCGGGAGCGCTGCAAATAGGCAGTGCGAAATCGCAGAGTCGAGAGGGGAAAGACAAAATCACGGCGGGACCGTGATAGAATGCTCGGACAGTCATCTTGTGCGCGCGGCTGTACATTCGATCTTGTGCGCGACCACGGGGCGAGATGAGTTTTGCTGAGTTGGCGAGTTCCTTGCGGGGATGGCTCACTCTGCCGGTGCGATGGGCGTATTGTTGCGGTGCCGTGTCGAGCGTGATGGCCGCTGGGCGACAGGACAAAAAACAAAAGGGACACGATCGAGATTGGCTCTAGGGCAGAAAATGACTGGGCTTGAGCGGAAATGATCCTGGCGGGGCGGGGACCAGATGTTCGGAATACCACTCGCGGCGGCAGGCAGTGGGATGGATGTGGCGACTCCAGCTGGTACTGGCAGATGAGAAATGACGGCGATGGCAATGATGGGGAGAGTGGTGAATAGCCGAGATGCGGTGTAGGGCGGTACGTGTCTGCGGGGGTGCGACTGGACGCACGGGGAGAGGCGCCACAGCCGTGCATGTCGAGAGGGATGCAGACTCTCCTCCGACTGTGGGCCCCGCCCGTCTGTCCTCCGATCCCGATCGCATTGTGTACCATCGAGATGCCCGCTTTCATCCAGGCGCCCCCAGCGCCGGCTGGTGTCCCGGTCTTTGGCCGTCTCCCACACACATCGGAGTCGAGCTAATAGACTATAGTTTCCATCCTTAACGCCTCTCCCGCATATAAAACACTCTCATCCCGCTCTCTCCCCTCCGAACACCTCCTCCGCCTTCATCACAAGCCTCCCCCCACCTGCTCCACTCACAATGCGCTCCCAAGTCAGACTCTACGAGCACCCCGAGTTCAAGGCCGACAAGCAGGACATGACCCTCTTCTCCACCATCCTCTTCGTCCTCACCCTCGCCGCCACAGGCGCGTTCATCATCTTGTCCGTGTCCTGTCTTCTCGCTTGGTCTGATGACTGTGTCTTCCGTGCGTCCTCACCCCCCTTGCCCCCAGATGACGCGCTGACGCGAGACCCGGACGCAGCGTTCGCCTCGCCGGGCCAGCGACCAGCATTCCTGCCCCTCCGGCACGTCCTCAGCGCATGACGAACGCACCTTCCCGCCCCGCGTCTTCCCGTCTCCTTCGGTGCGTCGCTTCTAGCTCCCCTGCGTGACCAACTCTATCTGACCCGCGCCTGCGCCCCCAGCCCAGCCCTGCGAAGATACGCCTTTTTGTCTGGCACACTGCCCCCGCGCCCACTACCTTACGCTTCCTCGAGCCGCTTCATATGCTATTTTTTGATGTCATGTATACTTGTCCCTCTCCGGCCAAGCGACCGCGCGGCGCCCGAGCGCTGATTTGCCCCGGGAGATCGCCCGCCCGTCTGTACTTCATATAAGCTCTGTCCCCGCGTCCCCATAACAGTATGACGTACCGCCCCGTATAGTGTAGCATACCGCTGTATTCCCACCGCAATCATACAGTATTTACGCGGCGTTCGCGAAGCAGCCTGCCCATTTGGAGCGCGCCCTCGGATAGCATCAACCTACGCACCGTTGCTACACATCGGGCATGGGTTGCAACCTAGAAAGACGTGCCCCCTACCCTGGATGAGACATGCTGGATCTGCCATAGTCGGAAAGACGCATGCCAGTGGTGTGGGTCTGATTGCTCGCTAGGCCGGGCCACTAGCCTCGGGCGCCGCAGAACTGTACGAGTAGCTTGTAAACAGCGTGTTCTGGCGGGATTCTGAGCGACTGACCAGAGCTTCTTCGTGTCCCACGGAGCCAAGTCCGACCGGGGCCACCACGAACTCTGGGGACACCAATGTCCGAGCGCCGTCACTGAATATGTGGAACGCGACACAAGGACACAACCACCACGGGGGACTAACAGATTGCGTGTCCGACCGCATATACAAGCTTCTATTCATCCTTCAGTGTGCATCGATTATCATGCGCACCACTCGAGGGCCACTTACAGAGGATTTAAACGGCCGTGTATCTCGGCCATCCACGACGTAAACGGTAAAGCGGGAGTTATACCATCACGGAAGCCTCATCTGACCGGTGCCCCGAGCATTAATGTCTTTAAACCGATGCTGCGAATAGACTTCGAACAGGGTGTGGGCCCTCGCACAACAAAACGCCAGCTCCTGCATACCCCTGCTATCGATTGTGCAACGCATACCTCGAATCGATACAAGTCCCGCAGGTGACATGCCGATCGAAGCGGCCTACTTACCGAGGACGCGTTTGAACGCACGCCCGTCTCTGAGAGTCTAGACCTTACGCTTGCGATGTGCGAGGCCCGACGACTTTCCAGCGTGACCCGCCTCTCAACGCACCCAAATGACAGAACCCGGCAAAAGAACCCGATTCCATGCGCGTAGCATACAATACAGATGTTTCTATTTTTGCGTACGACTTCTTGAACATCTTACACGCCGACAGCCATCTACTCGAAGATCCACGGTGCAAGGTCGTGGTTGTACTGAACGATGCCCTCAGGGAACCACCTTTGATTGGGGGGAACGAACATCCGTCAGGTGATTGTCAGGATTATGCACGGATGGACTCACAGGGCAATCTCCTTCTCCGCGCTCTCGACGGCGTCGGAGCCGTGGCAGATGTTGCGGCCGACGGCGAGCGCAAAGTCGCCACGGATGGTGCCTAGCAACAAGACACACGGATTCAGTAAGCAGTGCGGGGGGGGGGGGGGGGGGGGTT